AAATAAATAAATAAATAAATAAAATGTAAATACTTCCAGTAACTCTTCACTGATATTGGAATGTTCTCTTCCTGTTCCAGGTTCCCCTGATTTTTGATGATGTTGCTGTATTTTTCTCCGGGGAAGAATGGCCTCTGCTGGATTTCAACCAAAAAAATCTATACAGGGAGGTCATGCTGGAAAATGCTAGGAATCTGGCCACCTTGGGTAAGGGTTTTTCTTCATTTTATGTTAAGATAGATGGGGATGATATTTTCTACTACAAAGTAACCAGCAGAATAACAGAGTTGGAAGAGAATTCATTTCCCAATGAATTCATGGAGGATTCATTTCCCGATGAATTCATGAAGGATTTCTAGTCCAACTCCTTGCACAAGCAAGAGATCCTACACTTGTCAGACAAATGGTTGTCTGATCGCCTTAAAAACCTCCAGTGTTGGGCATTCAGAACTTCTGGAGGGAAGTTGCTCTACTGATTAATTGTTCTAACTTGTCCTGAAATTTCTCCTTAGTTCTGGGTTGGTTCTCTCCTTGATTAGTTTCCATCTATTGCTTCTTGTCCTGCCTTCAGGTGCTTTGGAGAATACCTTGACCCATTGTTCCAAAGGTGCTTTTACAAGAGGCAACTAGATTTTCTGTTTTTTCTTTGAAGACATTTCCTTTCTCATCCAAGAAGCTTCTTAAACTCTGGCTGGATAGTGGGGAATGGGAGGTCACCATCAAGCTAGAGCTTAAGAAGCTTCTTGGATGAGAAGCAAAATGTCTTCAAAGAAAAACCAGACAGTCCAGTTGCCTCTTGAAAAGCACCTTTGGCTTTGAAACGGAGATGAGCCCCACCCTCTAGAGTCAGGAATGACTAGCACATATATGCGAGGGAACCTTGACCTTAACAGAGAAATACTAGATAAAAGGCAGCTAATGAAGCTTGATTCCTAACAGCACTCTCAAGTTGTGCTTTCAATTTCTCATGGACTTTTTCTTTTTTGATTCAACAGGTGATGGATGGGAGAATGAGAATTACGAAGAGACAGCTTTCCAAACAGTCAAAAGTGAAATTGGAGAAAAGGTGTTTCAAAATCAGCAAGGGCTACAATGGCCAGAGGCAAACCAGTTAAATGGTGACCTGCAAATCTCCTCTACTTCTCAAAATGCAGATGTTCATCTTTTTCTGATCCAAGGAGATCAGGGAGAAAAAGGAATATTTGGAGAAATAATTAGAGAAGAATCAGATGTTTGTGAACACCCCAGTATTTATATGAAAGAGACTCAAGAAGAATGCATGGAAGATGGGAAAAGTTTCAAGTGGGACATCCCTCTTGCTTTCCATAGAAGCATCCTTGTAGAAGGAAAACCCTATCAATGTACGGACTGCGGCAACAGCTTCAACAACAGCAGCCATTTTATTTCCCATAAAAGGACCCACTCGGGGGAGAAACCATATAAGTGCCTTGAGTGTGGAAAGAGCTTTAGTGAAAATAGCTCCCTGACTTCCCATAAAAGGATCCATTCAGGCGAGAAACCGTATAAATGTGTGGACTGCGGAAAGAGCTTCAGTCAGAGCGGACAACTCACTTCTCATAAAAGGATCCACACGGGAGAAAAGCCATATAAATGCACAGAATGTGGCAAGAACTTCAGTCAGAATGGTCAGCTCACTTCACATAAAAGGCTCCATTCTGGAGAGAAACCGTATAAATGCACAGAATGTGGAAAGAGCTTCAACCAGAGCGGCCATCTGACTTTTCATAAAAGGATTCACACTGGAGAGAAACCATATAAATGTATAGAGTGTGGGAAGAGCTTCACCATAAGCAGTCACCTTACTTCCCATAAAAGGATCCACACGGGGGAGAAACCCTATAAATGCACTGAGTGCGGAAAGACCTGCAGTACCAACAGTGATCTTACTTTGCATAAAAGGATCCATTCAGGGGAGAAACCCTATAAGTGCATGGAATGTGGGAAAGACTTCAGCCAGCGAAGTAATCTTATCTCCCATAAAAGTATACACTCGGGGGAGAAACCCTATAAATGTATGGAGTGTGGGAAGAGCTTTAATCAGCGAAGTAATCTTATTTCTCACAAAAGGATCCACTCAGGAGAGAAACCCTACAAATGCCTGGACTGTGAAAAGAGCTTCACTTGGAACTGTCAACTGACTTCTCATAAAAAGATCCACACAGGGGACAACCAAATAAATGTTTTGACTGTTGAAAGAGCTGCTTGGACTCCAGTTCTGAGCTGATAAACACCATCCGTCAAGTTGGATACGAATGCACAACAGACTCAAAGAAAGTATTGTATCTGCAAAGTTGAAGGAGGAAGGACAAGTCAGGAGCAGAGTAATAGTCAAGTAGTCAAGGTGTGTCTATTAATAGAGACACACTGAGGAATCCTCGAAATAGATGTGTCTATTAATAGAAGCACACTGAGTTGCTAAGCATTTATTCACGTGATAGTGTACTTGTAAAGGGATGTGGTGTTTGGTGGTTCGAATCCCTAGCGCCATGTAATGGAGTGAGCTCCCGTTACTTGTCCCAGCTTCTGCCAACCTAGCAGTTCGAAAGCATGTAAAAATGCAAATAGAAGAAATAGGAACCACTTTCGGTGAGAAGGTAACAGCGTTCCGTGCGCCTTCAGCATTTAGTCATGCCAGCCAAATGACTACAGAGATGTCTTCGGACAGCGCTGGCTCTTAGGCTTTGAAATGGAGATGAGCACTGCCCCCTAGAGTTGGGAACGACTAGCATATATGTGTGAGGGGAATCTTTACCTTTACCTATGTAA